CTCTCCCCCCCCCCCCCCCCGTCTCGGCCGCCGTTATCTTTTTTAGCTGCGCTTTTTATGCCCTTCCAAGTATTTCGGCTTTTCTCCTCCCCATTTCCTTGACGGCACTGTGATCTGCAACTTCTTTATATTGAAAACCTGAGGCTGAGATTCGTGCCTCTTACTTCTGTTTATTGATCTTATTTATGTCTTTTGAGGAAGTAAAGGATCAGGATTTTCATGGCCGACCAGACAGTGGTTTTTTAAAAAATACCTTGGCTTTATAAGGCTGAGATCCTCTGTTCCTTGGATTTTTAATTTAAAAAAAAAAACTCTCTGTACTATGTGAGAAAGGTTTTGTAGCGGTTTTCGCCTGCATCCTTTTGTAAAGTGAACTTGGTAGAAGTGGAAGTGCCGATTCCTCCCCTCATGCTCATCCCAGACCGCTTGGCATTTTTCTCTTCTTCCTTTCCTCCTTCAGCATCAGTTTAAAGGGAGAATTGGGGATGATGCAGTAGGATACAGTCTTCGGGAAAGGTGCCAGCTTCAAGGTAAAACAAAAAGTCAAAAAGGTGCTAAATAAAGGTGGGAGGAGGGAGTTTGCTGCATAAGGAATCTGGAATTAAAACATCTCTGCGCTGCAATAGACTGACCGTTCTGAAATGGTCGAAGAGAACATTGCATACTTTCCCTGCAGGTTTTAAAAGGAAGTGAGGAGACTTTTCTTCTCTTTTCCTTTCTTTCCTTTCTTTCTCTGCCTACTGAATTATTCAAACTGTCAGTAGTGAATCCAGAGACATTAGCATGCATCAGACATGCTGTTTGTCTGTTTGCTAACATTCTTCATTCAAGACTTGTTAACTGCCAGACAAGCTTAACACGCTTCTCTCTTTCTCCCACCCCCCCCTTCTTTTCTTACTCTCTCACTCTCCTTTCTGGTGTCCTTCCTCCTCTCTCATGCCACCCCTTTCTGCCTCCTCTATTGTTATTGCTGGGAGCCAGGGGGGCAGTGGTGGCGGTGGTGCGTGGGGGTGGTGGTGAAGAAGCATGTGGCTGAGAAGCTGGAGCCGTTGTTGCTAGGTAAGGACCGCCTTCCCATATTCTCTAGGCCTGCATGCACTTGCAAAATCAAGAAATGCCACAGAGATCACGGAGTGTCTTCCATCTGCTTTCACAGGAGACTGTCGCGCTGGAAGGTGAACACCCTGACGTCCTGCCTCGGCTAGTACTTCTCCCTGTAGCTGGTTCCCATTCTTCCTTAGGTAAGAAGAGATTCCTTCCTTATAGGTGCTTCAGTTTACCATGTGGTAAGATTTCACTCATTAGAATCCAGAGTACAGTGAATGAGCAGGATAATAATTACTAAGTCAGATAATAAAGTTTCAGCAACTCAGACTGGATGTTGCACTTGGATTGCTTAGTTAGGCCACCTAACCATCAACATCTCTTATCAAACTATCCAGGTTTTGTTCCAGATTGGTAAAGAAAATACAGCTTTCCAGTGAAGGATATGATGTGCTTCATTTTTTTTCAGTTTTTACTGGTGTCCTTCTCTTTTCCAACTTGCTTTAAAATTAGCTAGCTTTCATTTTTGAAGGGAGACAAAGGGTAATTGCTTGGTTTATTTATTAATGTGGATTTCAGCCGATATAGGGCTTATGTTACTTGTGTTGTTACTAATTTTATTGCAGTTACTTTCATGAACGCTGGTTTTCCTTACTGTCCACCATCCTTTTTCATTATGTGGGTGGATATATCGATAGAGAGAGAGATGTTACATAGATTGTGCCTTTCAAAGATTCGCATGTTATAAGATGGTGCTAAATTAAATTGTTTAGTTCGTGTTCTGATTTTTATTTGGCAGTATTGTCCATTATCAGTTTGATATGGCACTTAAAATTCATTGGGGTCTGCATTCCATTGTATATGAGAGTGAGAAAATATATGCTGTATGAGAAAGAGATCGCTCCATAGAACTATTCTTTACAAACATAATTCTGTCAATAATCTTTTCATGAGAACGGCGGCATCGTGTGTTTAGGCACATCTGTATCACTGCTTCATGAGGAGAGGGAATATGTATTGATGTGTATAAATTCTTCATGTAAAATCTCTCTATCCAATTGGAGTATATTGCCATCATACCCATACATGCTGTGTATAAAGGTGCTCTTAATGTATACTTTTAAAATTATTCATTATAAAGGCATAAATGCAAATCTAATACTTTTTTTCTGGACAATGTGTCCATCGAAATAACATGCAGATGTTGATGCTCTTTTGATGAACTTGATAATTAGCCAGTTTGGCAAACATTCTGGACATTTTAGATATTAGTATTATGCATAAGCTGAACCTATAATATGTTTAGTTTGATTCATACTGTTGCCAGTTAAAATGCACATATGGAAGTATACTAAAAGGTCATTTTATTGAGCTTTTGTTTCTGATGTAGATATTTTTATTTGCTGTACAGTTTTTCTAGAACAGAGCACGGACTATTTTGATTGAACCAGTGAGCTTATATTGTTATCCTTGGTGCTTTTGTGTATAGTAAATTTAAGTTTTAAAAAACTTGGAACAGATTTTAAAATTCCAAATAAGTAGAATATTTTTAAAGTCATCTTCATACAGAGACATTTTGAAGCCGAGACATTACTCAGTTCGGAGATGATATCTGTATAGTGGCTCTTTCCCAGAACCCTTTATCATGAATATAACTTGAAGCACAAATCACAACTTTTGTAAAGTAGTACCTGTGGTTATGCTGTGGTGTTAAAGTTGAGGGACTAGATATAGTATGGTGGAAGAAAAAGTGACATCAGTTTTCTCAGAATATACTTCAGAGGGGCCTATAACATCTGTGCAGCAACATTACTAGTTTACAAATTCTTAAATTTGAACTACTTTTAGAATTTGTAATTTCATTAAATTGTAATGAACATATACAATTTAGAAAACACAGTCCCTGTCCTTTTTTTATAAAAATAATTATTATTCAGTGTCATTTAAAATAAACTAACTTTGCTTCTTTGTCCGTTGCAGTAGTTTGGCAAGGAAACAAATTATATACTGTACAAAAAATGTATTTCCTTCCTTAACACATCCAGAATTTCAGGTTTTGCTGTACAAAGTAATGGGTAGAAAAGGACATAATATTAAAAAGTAAAATTCATACTGTGAATCAGATAAAGATAGTAGTGCTGTATACCATTATATG